TCTCTAATTTTCATCCTGACACATTTGCAGCTTTACCTTCGTAACTAATTGTCCAGGAAACTGCCATTTTTTAACCAGCAATTAAAATAAATAATTTTAATATCCAATTAATTTCTTTTCATAAGGTTTGTTTTTGAGTTTTTTGTTTGTTTTTGCTTTTTGTTTTTTGTTTTTGGTACTGGGGATAGAACTCGGGCCCTTGTGCTTGCAAGGCAGGCAGTGGAATCACTGAGCTAAATCCCCGGCCCATCTTTTCATAAGGTTTGTTTTAAACTGTTTTTCTCACCCCAGTGTTATAATCTCCTATATCTGTACTTCTCCAGCTTTATTATCTATGTAATCATCTGAAAATATTTTCAAAATGAAGATGTAGCCCGAAAGTGATGTCGATATTGTTTCAAACTTTACTTTCATTTATATTGTTCACATTTTTGTCTTTAATCCACCTGAAAATGATTTACACACGACTGTATATTCTTCCCCACCTATATAAGTAGCCAGGTATTTTTAGAATTATTTAATAATCCACCTTTTGCCTACTAATCAGTAATGCAGTATTTGTCAGACATAATTTTCTCTAGTTTGGGAGCTACCTTTAACTTGTCTGTCTTGCTCTATTAACACTGCTAGAACAATTTTAATTATAGTTCTATAGTTTAAGTCTCCATAGAACAAACCCCCTAACCTGTTTTTCCTCTCAAAATTGTCTTAGCTATCATCTGGATTTCTTTCAATTAATCTTTATAATCTTAAATTCTAAGGAAAAATGTCTAGACTGGTTAGAATTAAATATACTGAAATTATAAACTATGTGAATTAAGTATCTTTATTGACATCCAAATAAGACGGTATGTCACTCCATTTATTTAGGTTTTACATGTTTTTATTTATACATGTTCTATACAAAGTTCATGAACATTTTTTATATTTGTTCCTAAGTACTGTTTATTGCCTATTCCTTTTAATATCCATTTAATAAATGAAATTCATTCATTCATTTCTCATATGGAAATAAAGCTGGTTTTTATTTATTCTAGTCCCATAAATCCAACTCAGGACCTTGCACTTCCAGGCAGGTGCATCACCACTGAGCTACATCCCTAGCCCTAAAACTGGTTTTCATAAATTGATCTATCCAAATACCTGCCGAAATTCCATTAATTCTAAACATTTGTCTATAGCTTTTTTCTACATAGCTCTTCTGAATATAAGTGAAAAAGAGAAATTTTAAAAGAAAGCAGCCAGGCACGGTGACACATGCTAGTAATGTATCATTGTAGGAGGTCTAGGCAGGAGGATCACCAGTTTGAGCCTGGCCTGGGGAATTAAGTGACTTAGCAAGAAAGACCCAGCCTCTGAAGTAAAAAATAAAAATAAGCTTAGTGCCAAGGTCTTGGGTTCAATCCCAGTACAAATGAATGAATGAATGAATGAATAAAGAAAGAAAGGGAGGGAGGGAGAGGGAGAAAGAAAGAAAGGCAGACAAAGCAGATTCAATAATAGAAAACAGATTCTATAAAGGAACAAAAGATCCCATAAAGGAACAAAGGCAGCAGACTTCTCATTAACAATGCAAACCAAAGGACAGCAGATGTTCACTGCAGACTGAACTAACCTAGTCTAAAACTGAATGTCCAGCAAAAATACCTTTTGAAAGTCAAGGTACAATAAAGCAAACTACCATTATAAGAAAAGTTAAGGAACCTCTTCAGGTAAAAGGAATACTGGAGAATCTGCATCTGCAAAAGGGGTAAGTAGCACAAGAAACTGTAGGTACATTTTTAAAGATTTTAAATGGACTTACAACATTAACAATGTTTTGTGGAGTTTATAACACATGTAGAAATAAATATTTGACCAAAAAGGCTGAGCAGAGGATGCAAGTAGATTGTTCTAAGCTTCTTAAAGTGAAGTTATGTAACAAGTTAACGATCCATACTCCAATGAGAGCAAGCACGTGCAGGTGTGTGCATGTGCAGGCCAACACGCGTTCACACAGAGGTACATCTGACGTCAGTAAAAGCAATAAAAACTTTAAAAAGTACTCCAACTGAGGCAAAACAATGCAGAAAAAAAGGTAATAAAAGGAACAAATGAAAAAAAAATATAAAAGGTGGTATATTTGAATCTAAAATCCAATCAAATGTAAATGATCCAAACATTTTAGATTTTGGGAGTGGGTAAAAGAGCAAGATCAAACTGTATGCTAATGTCAGGAAATTCACTTTAAAAACAGTTACAGATATATTAAGAGATGGGAAATAAGTACTGTAACATTTTCCAAAAGAAAGCTGGGATGCTATAGTAGTATAAAAGTAGATTCTCAAATGAAATTTTATCAAATGAGATTATGGAGACAGTCCACTACCAGCAAAAACAGTCTTACTTGTTTTATGCATTTTATGCTCATTGCACATATACTTGGTTCTAAATTTTAAATCGCAGGGTCAAACACTCTGCATTTAAGAAAATTAAAAAGGAAAATAGAATTTTAAAATTTTTATTAGTGAGCCAGGTATAGTGGTGCATGCCTACAGCCATAGCCAACTGGGAGTGTGGGGCAAGAGAATCAGTTAAAGCCCACAATTTCAAGACCAACCTGTGCAACAGTGAAAGTTTGTATCAAAAAATTTTTTAAATTTATTAGATTTAATGGACTTTACAAAGAAAAAAATATATACTTCTATAGCTCCCATTCCTACAAGTATTAAAAATATAAATCACAAAATATCTTTACATTTTTAATAAAAAATTTACATTTTTAATGTTGCTGTCAGTAATGTACTGTTTTCCAGCTTTAAGTTCTTTAAGTGCTTAAGAAACCTATCATTTTCACTTGAAACATTAAAGTTCAACTGACACAATTAAGTTTTAATTTTGTACTTTAAAGTTTCATACTACCTCCACTTCACCCTCTCTGTATTCTTCAGCTTCAAAGAAAGGACAAAGATATACCTGGGGAGCATTAATTGTAAAATTAAAGCTATAATGTTATTTGAGCTCAAAACAGTGTAGTAGTTTATAAAGTTGACAAGGCCTTTTTATTTTTTAATGCTTCCCCAAGTGCTGGTCAATTATATACGTGTAATGAATGGCAAGAAACAGCTCTAAAGTCTTTCAGTTTTATTTCATAAGGAATGTATTACATGTAAAAATATCACATTAAAATGGCAGAGTAAACCAAATATAATAGAACTACTTTTCCCAATGCAATCATTCTTAGCTTTGCTTCTGGTGGATGCTATTTCTTTTCAATCCTTTCCAATCAGTTACTTGATACATTCCTCAGTTTTCCTATATGGTCATTTATCCAGATCTACTCAAGAGTACAGGGCAGACAGGGCAGCACTGACTAGTGATGCCTTTTTGGTGGTATAACTTTCTATCCAGCTTTCAGAAGAATTAAGAGGGAAGAATTAGTGAAAATTCCAATCAACTAAGGATTAATTATGGAACTACAGATAACTGCTCCTGGACCCCCTTGTGTCACTTTCTGAAGACCTTCAAACTGATCAAAAGAGGCTAACTTTTTGTTAGAAATTACTTATCAAATTACCTAAGACAAAATACTATTTCTACTATTTCTAAAAAAGCATAATAAATGATTTGGCAATCTCTTCAATTAAGTCAAATTTGCTTTATTTTTCAAAAATTATATTGTTAAACTAGTACAGAGAAATTAAGTGTAACATATGGTTATTATTATGAATTGATTCTATTACTTCCTGTTGAAACTATTAAACATAAAAAAAAATATAGATTCCAAATATCTACATCACAACACACACAGGAAATGTTTTATTGCACTTTCAGCAGATACTCATGTTTTGTACATTATCTGTAAATTAGGAGACTGGCAATGTTTCAAATCATCTAAATGTATATATATATTCACATTATATAAAGAAAAAAGGAGGCAAGGGACAAAGAGACTTAACTTTTCTTTTATCTTCCACAAAAAGCTTGAAAAATGTCTCTTTGTAAAACTGGAATTGAGTTTTTTCAAAGTCAAAATAAGATCTTGTTTTATGGGCTGAGGATGTAGCTCAGTGATGCTACACTTGCCTGGCAAGCATAAAGTCCTGAGTGGATCCCTGGTATCAGAAAATTAAAAGATCCTGTTTTTTGTGAAACTACTTGTTTTAATGAAAGATAAAATACTGGCACATCAACCACAAGGTGGCACTATAATTCCGCGCTGGTACTGATGCTTTACATATTAACAGACTAATAGTTGTCTTTTTTAAAGAGATTTTTATAAATCTACTTCTCATGTAATTGAAAAAATAAATCTAATGGGATTCATTACATAATTAAAAGTTCAGTAAGCTCATACTAAATTGTATGCTTCAGTATGCTAACATGAAAGTTGTTTTAAATGACCAAATACTTATCAGAATACTAAAAATATTTTCTCAAGTTTTCACCTATACCTTAAAGTTAATATTTCATATTTGAAATACTGAATTATATAACAGAAATAGATAAATAAATAAAATATAATCAGGTGATCGATATAAGAAAGAAAAGTGCTTTACCCTCCCTTATAAGGGTCAGTTTTCTTGATATCCCAGGATTATATTTTTATTTACAAAGTTAGAAAAAGATGTTTACATAAAAATTTTAAAATGGGGCCAGGGATTTAGCTCAGCGGTTTGTGGCCTGCCTTGCAAGCACAAGGATCCGAGTTCAAACCCTGGTACAAAAAAAAAAAAAAAAAAAAAAAAAAAAA